AATTCGCTTCGACTAGCGCACCAGTGCTCCAGCAACGCCTTTTGGCACGGGCTCAACAAACCAAGCATTGGCTGGAGGAGTGGTGGGACAATGGCGCATATCTCGGATACAGGGACTCGGTTGTTGTGAACGTGTCTTACTACTGTGCGTTGGCATCCCCATTTTCAAGCCACCCAAATAACACGTAAACTCAGATGGCTTCGACGCGCACCCCAGCCACTTGGAGCAGTCGCCTGTCGCGCGCGCCGCGTGCCTCGCTCGGGCTACGATGCTCTTCCGCCAGCAGCTCAAACTCGGCAACATGAAACCCGAAGCGACCAAGGAAGGGCCGATGTGTATGGACACCTACCGCTGGATGTTTGAATGCTGCCGCGTCCCTGGTCCTCAAGGGCTTGACTGGAGCGTCACTTATGCCGCTCCTTCCGACAAGGGAACGGATGATGCCCATATCGTGGTCTTTCGGAACAATCTGCCTTGGAAAGTCACGACTGCAGTAGGAGGACGTATTTTGGGTACCGGCGAGATACAACGGTGTGTTTCTCGGCTTGTTATTTTTCAATAGCTTATCACAGACTGCAGACAGATCCAGTACATCTGGGACAACTCTGCCGGCGAGCACCCTGGCGTCGGTGTCCTCTCTGCCTCCAACCGCGACGTCTGGGCCAATGCTTACACCGAGTTGACCTCCTCTCCTCACAACGCTGCCATTGTCCAGACTATCCAATCCGCCGCATTCACCATCAGCTTGGACGCCTCGTCTCCAGTCACTCCCGAGCACCACAGCCGTGCGTTATGGCACGGTGACATGGTCAACGGTGTCCCTGTCGGTCTTCAAAACCGCTGGGTCGACAAACCCGTCGAGTATATCGTATTCGAAAATGGTGTCGCTGGGCTCATGGGCGAGCACTCTGTGATGGATGGCACACCCACTGTCCGTCTCGCAGACGACGTCCTCAACGCGCTTGCACGAGAGGACTTTGACCACGGTATCAAGGGCTCTGATCCCGGGGCGCCTATTCCCCTCAAATGGCAGCTCTCGCCGACCACGGTCACGGATATTGAAACTGCGAACGTGGCTGCACGCGAGCTCGTCGAAGGGCAGGAGCTGGGTTTCCTCGTCACCAAGTACGGCAAAGCGGCGATCAAGCGTTTCGGCGTATCTCCCGACTCGTGGGCTCAGCTGATTGTCCAGCTGGCCTACAGGCGTTTGCTTGGTGGCGCTAAGCGTTTGGGAGGGACCTACGAGGCAGCAACGACCCGTCGGTTCTTGAAAGGGCGTACGGAGGCCATCCGTGTCGTGTCTTCCGAGTCGGACGCGTGGGTTGCGAGTATGGATGTGGAGGTGGGATTACAGGAGAAGAAGCGGTTGTTCGATGCTGCTGTCAAGGTGCATGGTGCACGAGCTCGGGCGGCTGGGATGGGGCAGGGCGTTGACCGGCACTTGTTTGGTCTGAAACGGCTGATCCAACAAGGCGAGGAGATTCCGGCTCTTTTCTCCGATCCGCTGTTCCTCCGGTCGAGCAACTGGGTTCTCAGCACGTCTGCTGTGTTCTCGAACCATTTCCTTGTGTATGGATGGGGAGAGGTCGTCCCGGAAGGGTTTGGGGTTGCCTATATGACGGGCTTTGATGATCGTCTGCAGTATACCATCACCTCGAGGACGGAGAGCCCCAACGCAGAGTTCTGTGCGGAGATTGGGCGTGCTGCGGAGGATCTTTATGCGTTACATGCAGGATTAGAGAAGGCCAAGTTGTAGAGTAGAAAGCCTATTTCTGTTACGGGCCACATCCGGGCCGATTGACTCGACTTGCTTTCGACGATGACCACTGGAATTGCGATACTTGGAGCCGGTATCTTTGCAAAGGAGGGTGAGGGGGAACAACATCGTCTTTCATTCCACCGATCTCTACCACAGCCCACCTCCCTGCTCTCGCCGCCCTGGGAGCCGACGCGTTGCCTTTGCTTGCAGTTTACTCGCGATCCGAGAAGACTGCTCACGAATGTTCTGAGGCCGCCGTCGAGTTGGGACTGACGCCCGCTCCTGCGATCTATCACGACGACTCGGAGGACAACTTGGATTCCCTGCTTGCGCGCGCGGACATCTGCGCTGTGATCGCCGTCCTCCCAATCGCCTTACAGCCGTCGATAATTCTCAAGGTAGTCTCTTATAAACAGACTTTATAACACATGTTGTCTCATCTTTCGACATATCCTCTGAATCAAGGCACTCGCGGCCGGCAAAAACGTCTTGAGCGAGAAACCCGTCGCTCCCGACGTCGCTGGCGGCCTCGAGCTCATCAAGACTTACAACGACAAGTATAAGCAGAGTCTCGTCTGGCGCGTTGCAGAGGACCATGAAGCAGAGCCCGGATTCCGTGCGGCCCGCGATATTATCGAGGCGGGTATGTACGGGCCGAATTTCTGGGGCTGGATTCTGAATTGACGCTCGCTCGCTCGTAGGTAAGATCGGAAAGGTCAATTTCTTCAAGGCCGTCAAGACGGGCTACGTCGATGTGGACAACAAATATTACAAGACTCCGTGGAGGACGATCCCTGCATATCAAGGAGGATTCTTGGTGGGTGAACCGAGTTTTCGAGTGAATATACTGACCCAGACCCCCAGCTGGACGGAGGTGTTGTATGTGATGTTCTTATTGTCCTATTGAGCTTCTGACTCTCCCCTTAGCACACATGTGCCGCCCTTCGAGTCCTGCTTCCCAGACTACTCACCCACGTCTCCGGCTTTGCATCGCTCAACTACGACCATCTCAAACCACACGACACGATCCACGCCGTCGTCAAGGCGGGCTCCAACTTCCACGGGATTGTCGAGTTGTCTTTCGGCTTCCCAACCGAATCGACGCCCGAGGCAGACCTCTTCGTCATCACCGGCTCTGAAGGCACCATGACTGTCAACTTTATCAAGGAGGACGGGGCATCTATATGCCGTCTGCTGATTACCCGTGCAATCAAGGTCGAGGGCGAGCCGACTGAGGAGGTGGTTGAGGTTGTGGATGAGCCTGTAGGCGGCGTCAAGGTCGAACTTGCCAGCTTCTTTGAAGCGATCGCGGGCAAACCGACTCTGGCGCTGGGTGATCCTTTGGAGGCGTTGAGAGATGTGGCCTTCATCCAAGCAGGGTTGAACAGTGAAGGGCAGTTGATCGATTTGAACAAGTTGTTGGCAGAGGGCAAGTGATTCTTAGGTATGCTTCAAAGGTGATTGGTGTACTATAATGGAACGCAAGCATTTCGACATCTTGCGAGCAGATTAGTCGGCTGACTGAGCTCAACGGCCAAGGAGCCCCGCTTTTGATATCATTTTCTCGCGGCGCACGGGCCGCAGCGGTATCTTCATCGCACCCACCATCGTCCAGAAAATGTCTGGCATTCCCTCAGAGAGGCGGGCAATCGGTGTCAAACAGGCCAGTTCAATCGGTGAACCTCGACTACGCGCGTCATAATTCCCTCTAGACCGGAGACTTTGATGTACTAGAGATGCTCACCTTACCGCTGAAGGTCTTGCTTCCGCTTCTCTGCGTTGTCTCTCTCCTTCCCTGTACTCCTAGGTTAACCCCGGAGACGTGGTCGTCAAGGTGAGTTTCAAGGGCATTAATCAACCACTCTTATGCCGGATTACCAGGGAGAATATTTCGGCATCAACTACATAGACACGGTATGCTCCAGAATTTATACGTGCCGCATCCTTGAATGCTTCATGATGCATACATAGTACTATCGGTCAGTGCCCAGCCTTATTCTTTCCTGGTCTCATTTCAACCACAGAACGGGTCTTTTTCCTTTCAAAGAACTCCCATCTGCCATTGGAGTTGAACTATCCGGGACCGTGCTCGCTCTACCGACAGAGCAAGCTGTCCTCGAAGACCCGGAGTACAAGCAACGTGAAATCACGGTTGGTGCCAAAGTTGTCGTGGTACGTATTTTCTGTGGCTCCAAGTATCAGGATGAACGCTCGCTCCTGTAGATCGGCGGCGGAGCACTGGGTGTACACTCCGACTACGCATCCGTTTCCTGGAAATCCATCCACGTACTTCCCAAAGGTGTTCCAACTCGACTCGGCTGCGCGGCTGTCCTTCAAGGATTGACCGCGCTCAGCTTTGTCGAAGAAGCACACAAAGTGAAAGCGGGACAAACTATCCTCGTTCATACCGTTGCAGGTGGTCTTGGGCTACTCTTCGCTCAGCTCTCCAAGGCTCGCGGGGCAACTGTCATCGGTACCACTTCGACCAAGGAAAAGGGGGAACTCGCCAAAGCCAATGGAGCGGACCACGTTATTTTGTACAGGGAGGAGGATACCGTTCAGCGAGTTTTGGAAATTACCAATGGCGTCGGTGTGGACGCGGTATTTGACGGTGTCGGAAAGGACACGTACGGTTTTTTCCGTCTGTTCTTTCTTTTCGGCGCCAATTGATGATCGCTTCCCCAGATTCGAGAGTAACTTCAAGATGCTCAAACGCAAGGGGACTCTGGTTTCTGTCGGAAATGCGTCCGGCCATGCTCCTCCTGTCGCTCCCATCCGACTCGTGGAGAAGAATCTCGCACTCCTCCGGCCGACGTGAGTAATTCCCATTCAGCGACAGTTCCAGTCCTTACTCATGGTTTCAGGCTCATGAATTACATTTATACACCCGCTGAGGTGACGGATTCAACTCCTTGTTCCCCGAAACATCTGCTCACACGACCCACGTAGCATTTCCACTACTGCAAGGAGCTCTTTTCTCTGGTCGCAGCGGGAACACTGAAGATCCAAATCCATAAAGAATATCCGTTCACGCGAGAGGGTGCCATCCAAGCTCAGAAAGACCTGACGGGCGGGAAATCAACAGGCAAATTGTTGATAAAGGTGGATTGACGGTGGGAATACCTTGAGATATATCTGTTGTACGCACGATGAATGTCGAGTATCGGAAAAGTTAGGGTCCGACATTTCTGCTAGTAACGCAGAGCACCAGTGGAATTCAAAAGAAATGGATGCAAAAGATTGTCAGCGGGGTGAATCGAACACCCGTCTCCTCGGAATCTCCTGTCACTGAAGCACCACAACGAGATGCTCTAACCACTAAGCGACGCCGACTTCAACCAGTGGCCCTCAGACAAAAACACCACCTCAAAGTTGCAGCGATCAACTCCCCTCATGTGAGAAATTGATGGCAACTAACTTTTCCTCCCGCCATGTCCTTGCCGCGCCTACCCGCCCTTGCCCAACGAATACCCCACACCCGGAGCATATCCAGCTCCCCCTACGGCCGCGCACACGTCTGGAAGCGACGCGACCCCGTCCTTCCCAACCCCGTCGTCCCAAAATTCCCACAACGCGTCGTCCGCGCAGACGGCTCTTCCTTCTTACACTGGACAACCTCCCCACGCTCCCTCATCCGCCTCACGCGTGATACGACGAGTAACCCACTTTGGAACACCGGCATGTGGCTGGACGGCCGTGGGATGGAGGAGGAGAACGAGACGACTGGTCGGCTTGGGCGGTTTAATCGCAAGTTTGACGGGATTGGTGGGGCTGGGCAGGAGGTGGATTGGATGGAGGGCGCCGAGCTGCTTGGAGCTGATGCCAATGCTGGTGAGCTCGTCCGTACAGCTTGGGAGACGAAGAAGAAGGCGCCGCAAAACCAGAGGAAGAAGTAGAGTCGCCGTACATGGCACATACACACCACAAAAGCACTCGATTCATCTCAGTAATTGCTACATTTGTATTGTTACAAGCTAATGGCACGAAGTCGCCTCCGAGGAGAACGACGCCGGAACACTGTGTTTATCTTGGACTCCAGGCACGTCCATGGACGGATTGGTGGCAAAGAACGACTGCGGCTTGAGCGTGACGCTCAAGTGCTCGACTGGCATCCTGCAGCAAAACATAAATGAGCACCAACGGGGAACTGCAGAGTTGCACTTACACAGGCCAGTCCTCGGGTCGAGGAATGTGGGTGACGCCGACAGTCAAGTACACCAAAATGTCCTCATTCTCCACACTCTTCTCCCCTTTGACCCATCCGCCAATCGAGTCGGCAGGCGTATCTCTCGTCTGCGGCACATACTTGCCCGCAGGATACAGCCTCCCACCCTTGGCCTCCTCCACCTCCCGACACACCCACACCGGCTTCCTCGCAAACTCCGCACGCCGTCCAACCCACCCATCAGGCCTGGCAAGCAACTCTATCGCACCGCCCTTGATGCCCAACGAGTATCCAACGTCCTTGCCCGAGCAGTAGTGCTTGCGTCCGGGGTTGACGATGCTCCACCGCCTCTCGATTCCCGTGCTCTTGTCGGGGTATTCACGAGCCGACTCGGTGGAGACGACCTTGTCGGTCGCGGTAAATGCGTTGCCAGCAAAGTTGGCTGCGGACCCAGTGGGGAATGGAGAGGGTGCAATGTCAGTTTCGATCAGGGTGTTATTGAGGCCATCGACCATTGGGTCCACACGAAGGGAGAACTGCGAAAGAAGCGTTAGCGAATGAACATTTTCAGAGGAACGCTCTTACGATATGCTGGTGGTAATGTGCGTTAACGTTCGGCGCCACGACCGTCCCGTATGGGCTCTGCTCCCCGTCTGCAGCGACGTATACCTGTAACACCCCGGTGAGCCTGATCTCCAACTCGACCGTGCCGTCTTGGTAAAATTGGTAGTTGAAGATATATTCTGCCAAACTTAAGCCAACCTTGTCCTCTCCGGGACACGCGAAACGCACCGTAATTCGCCAACGTGCAAACCATGCTGACGACAAGTCGGCGCCGGCGAACGGTCTGGGCGCGACCTCCAGGACGGAAATCTGTATGCTTCCAGAGCACACCGGCATCCTCCTCGTGGATGCAGATGCAGTTTTCTATGACATGTGTCGTTCCGTCGTGCTTAACAAAGGCACCTGGCTGAAGATGCTCTCAGAAATGTGCAGCCACGCGAGGCGGGGAGCCTACCAAGTACGAAATCTGCCCCACGCAGTCGCATCCCAACGTCAGCTCGTTAGCCATAACACCCATCCCGTACTCTCCACTGCGAAGAAATGTCAGGCGCATCTTGCAACAGGTAAAAACCGACATACACATCAAACGCAAACTTTCTTGCGTGTGGCGCCTCTGGCGCTCCGTATGGTACGACCATTTCCGCCAAACTCATTCTATACAAAACCGGCCGCACCTCCCCGTGGTCATTATACGTCACGGTGGAGAGAACGAGGCCCTCGCGATGGTGGAACGAGATGTGCATTTTCCAGTTCTGCCACTCGAGTTGCGTGCCGTTGAGCTTGAAAGACACACCCTCAGGTTGGATGATATGAAGCGGTTTGAGGTCGGTGCGAAGCGAAAAGTTGGGTTGCGTAGTGGCCATAAGGTCAGGGAGGAAGTCGAAGGAGGTGCGGGGAGGTGGGATGCGGGCACGGTTGGTGCGGGCTAGTGATTCTTCGGCGTTTGCGAGCGTTGGAGGAGGCTCTGTCGAAGTCACGGAGAGGGTTGGGCCATTTGGCGAGGGGTTGTAATGCGGGGCGAATTCTGACTACGATTAGTTGGCCATGAGTTCCGATTGGGCCTATACTTACCTAGATTCAAGACTTCTTCTGAATTGGAATTAAAGATGGCGATAAAGTCCTGGAATTTGCGTCAGGATCGAGGTGAACTAGCAGATAGGTAGCGTGCCATTGGATGAGCGTAGAGGTTATCATGCCGGGAAAAGCGAGCAAAGAGTAGTCCTTGCTGAAGCCGTTCGGTCTTTGAGAAGCGAGTGTCGAAACCGATCGACCACCCATCACAGTAGATCTGCTCTGGGGTCACTCCTTGGATCTCCCGGTGAGAAGCGTATAGAATTGAAGTAACATGGTCGTACCGACAGCCTTGGCTAACTCTTGAACCCGAGGGTCCTGTCGCACGACCGTTTCGCAGTGAATGAGCTCCTCGACGGAGATCTGGGGCTGAAGACCATCTTCGAGGAGATCGAAGGTATCTACGGTCCAGCCTGATTCTTTGAGGGAAACAAATACGTTGTATGCGCGCCTGAGGACTGTCAGAGCTTGCAAGGCACGATCTGGAAGGCATGTACCCGTTTACAATGTCTATGATCTACCTGAAAGTAAGTGCCTGTGAAATAAGCATGAGGGAAAGCGTACATCTGCCTCGGCTCTCCTGGTAATGGGAGTTGGTTCCTCTGGCTTTGCACCGGGCGCGAGGGGGATGCCCAGATACGCGAGGACGGCTTTCTTGGGGGGCGGAGCGAGGTAGCAGGTGACGAATTTGATAGCCTGGACGTCGGTATCGGTGGCGATGTACTTGCGGATGGCAAGGCAAGCGTCAGCTATCTCTGTTGGGGTCAGAGAATCCAGGGGATGCCAGGTCGCCATTGGTGGTTCCGAGCGAGGATTATCGCGCTCAAGCGCCGCTCTTATCATCTCAATGAAGTCACGTGTTCTCAAATATCAGGAGTTCTCGGGAGCCTGGCTCAAGGCTGGCTCAGGCGAGCGTGCACATTGCACAGAGAATTTCTTTGGGTTAAGATAAATGCGATCGACTTACTCGGAGGCCGGGACGTTACACGTGGATCTTGTCGCCTCGCGAATCGGAAACGACGGATTTCGAACAGGACTCCCAGCGGGCAGCCGAAAACTCCGCGTCGGTGTCGAAAAAGCAGATGGAGGTGCCAAAGGAAAGAAGATTACCGTGGGAATGCAACGGCAAACAGCAACAAACGACTCAACGCCTGCTTCCCAACTTGGAACTCGCCAAGCAAATCATGGCGAGCGAGGACGTTGTCTTTGTGCACACCGTCCCTGTCCCAAGAACTGGTTCTGGACACTCGTCACCGGCGTCAGAGCAGCCATCGGGGTCATTTTCACCGGCGGTCTCGACAGAAGTGCCAGGTGGTGCACCCACGGCCGACGCCAGCGACGAAGATGACGATGACTACGACTCGCAGGGCACACCCAAACTTCTTACCCACTTTCACGAATTCCGCGACTCGGACGATAGCGTCACATGCAAATGGGAAGGCTGCAGCCAAGTATTTACCCACCTGCCGACCCTCATCGAACACATTCACAGCGAACACATTGGCGTCAACAAGTCAAATTACACCTGCCAGTGGGAAACGTGCCAGCGCCGTGGAATGCCCCAGACATCCCGCTTCGCCTTGATTTCACACATACGATCCCATACTGGAGAAAAGCCGTTCACTTGTGCGCGTCCTGGTGCGTGTTTCACCTCTCTTTTTATGCCAGTATCTCATCTTCTGTAGAATGCGACAAGTCCTTTACGCGCTCTGACGCCCTCGCGAAGCACATGCGACTCCAACACAACATCTCACCGCCCCTCCCAGGGCGCGGTGGCTCCCGAAAGCGTAAACGCGGGCCTGACGACACCGTCGACAAGGAATCGACCAAAACACCCCCGCCACCACCCCAGCCTGCCCCACTTGCTCCTCAGAGCTCCTTCAGTTCGTTCAAGGTTGAGCCCACCACTCCGCTCGAGGCAGACGACCCCACTGCGGTGCAATCAACCACCTCCGTCATGGACCCACGCGATTTTGACGCGCAGGCACCACTGCCGCCGCGGCTGTCACCCATTTCCGTTGGTATACGCTCGTCTCCGCCGCCTCCTGCACGTGTTCCGGAGAACAGCAGCGTTGTTAACACAAGCGCCAGTGGTGGAAATGGAAACGGCAGCAGTGCACCAGAGGAACCCCCAATAACAATGGAATCCCTACCGCCTTACCTACGTGCTCGCTACGTCCCCACAACGCACCAAATCATGGGCCGTTCCCCCGAGCTGACCATGTATCTGCTCATGAAAGCCAAACACCGCTACGCCCTCCAGCAGCACGAAAAACTCAAGGAGGAGCTCAACGCTGTGCGCGTGGAGCTAAAGAAGGAGAAGGATGCAAAGGAAGGCGCATTGGATGGGGTGCTCAGAGGGTACTTTGGGCAAGTCCTGTTGCCTCCGTCTTTTTTTCGTGATTTTGACCCAAATTGTCAGCGCCCGTGCGGAGCATCTCATCGAACCCATTCCTCTCCCGCCCACCGTGAACAGCGCTCCGACGCCGATACCGCTCGATCACAACCACACGTCGGTCCTCAACGCGACGAC